CCCCCCCCCCCCCCCCCCCCCCCCCCCCCCCCCCCCCCCCCCCCGTTTCTCACCCAGGACCACATCGACGGGGAGCTGTGCCAGCAGCGTGCCGATGGGTGTCAGCTCTTCGGCGTCGTCCAAAGCGCCCTGAGCGCGAAGGTAGCGTAGGGCTGAGTCCAGGCTGGAGGGTGAGGGGGGGTCCAGGAAGGGGAAAGAGCGGGGGTCGCCCAGCCCCATGCTTTTCAGCTGCAGGTGAGGGGATAGAAAGGGGTGAGGGGGTCAGAAAATGGGGAAGACGATGGAGGGAGGGAAGGAGGGATGGAGGAAAGGGAGGAGTGAGGAGGGAAAAAGGAGGAGGGAGGTGAAGGGGAAGGAGAGAAGGAGGGGAGGGGGAGAAGAGAAGGAGGGAAGAGGGGGAGAAGAAGGGGAGAGGAGGGGGAGAAGGAGGGGAGAGAAGGGGGAGAAGGATGGGGAGGAGGAGGGGAAAGAAGGGGGAGGAGGAGGGGGCGAGAAGGGGGAGAAGAAGGGGGAGAAGAAGGGGGAGAAGGAGGGGGAGAAGAAGGGGGAGAAGGAGGGGGAGAAGGAGGGGAGAGGAGGAGAAGGGGAGAGAAGGGGGAGAAGGATGGGGAGAGAAGGGGGAGAAGGATGGGGAGAGAAGGGGGAGAAGGAGGGGAAAGAAGGGGGAGAAGGAGGGGGAGAGAAGGAGGGGAGAGAAGGAGGGGGAGAAAGAAAGAGGATGGGTGGAAAAAAGGGGAGAGAAAAAAGGGGGGGAAGGAAGGGGAAAAAAGGGGGAAGAGGAAAGGGGGAGGGAAGAAAGGAAGGAGGAGGAAACAGAAGGATGATGACGGATGCTGAGATGAAGATGTCGGGAGGGAATGAGGTGGATGACGGAAGAGAAAATGGTGGATGGTGGATGGAAGGATGAAGGTGGATGGAAGGAAAAGGAGGACAGATGGGAAGACGAAGGAGAAAGACAGAAGGAAGGATGACGGAGAGGTGAAATGATGCAACGATGGAATACCCCAAAGGAGCACAGGGCTTCACGCCTCCCCAAACCCCAACCCAACACCCATGAGAAGCGATGGCGGAACGCCCACCCCGAGGTGGGGAATCCATTACCAGCAGCACCACGGAATCCAGAGCCACCCTCTGGATCTCTGGCACTGGATATGGAGCAAAGGCCTCCAAGTCGGATTCGGAATAGAGGCGGAAACAAATCCCTGGCCCCGTCCGACCGGCGCGGCCTTTCCGCTGCTCTGCGCTGGCACGGCTGATCCAGAACTCCTGCAGGCGCTGCAGTTTGCACTGAGGGTCGTAACTCATCTCCTTCACCTTACCTGGGGGAGAGATGGGAAATGTGGGAGGGAAAAAGAGGGGAGGAGGAAGGATGGGAGGGGAAGGGGAAGGGGGAAGGTGGAGGGGGAAGGAGAAGAGGGAAGGAGAAGGGGGAAGAAGGGAGAAGAAGGGGGAAAGAAAAGGGAAGGAGAAGGGAAGGAGAAGGGGGA